TAATAAGAAAAAAACACGAAGAGCAGACATATTATTACACAAACTAACATAGCCTATAAACAATTAACAAAATATCACACATATTGTTGACACCAACTAACAAATTGCGATGATCCACAATTAAACATGCGACCCTTTTATAACCCCTTAATTAGACCTTCCGAATACCAACGCAATTAAATACGAAGAGAGTTTTTCAATGTCAATACGATGCAATAAGTAATAGCAATCCAATACACCTGTATATTTGTTATTAATTCACATATTTGGAATGTCAATGCAATGCACCTGTGTTATTATTAATAAATACCAACCCAACGTGTCAAGATTAAACAATTTGACTGGCTTGTCAATCCAATGTGTCAAAATAGCAACTTTAAAATTTTAAAAAATGTGTCACATAGCGAACAACCTGTAAGGGTATAGATGACGTAATAAATACTAATCTAGCGTGTCAAGATAGAGTAATTTAACTAACTTGTCAATCTAATGTGTTAAAATGAAACAATTTTATAGCTTCCAAAAATATGTCACATGGCAAACAATCTCTCTCTCTCTCTCTCTCTCTCTCTCTCTGCACACACACACACACACTATATATATATATATATATATAGAGAGAGAGAGAGATGGTTGGTAATCCCTCACCCTCCATAACATTAAATTTCATTCGTACGCTTGTAATCAAAGTATGGAACACTCCAGTTGTTGCCTGTTTCATATTTCCCCAATAGGAGAAAAATTTTCAATTTCTCGTAAGCCAATAAAAATTAAACGAGAAAGTAGAAACATACCGTAACGAGATGGCAACGTGGTCCAAACTCCCCAACCGCCGCCCGACCACCTCGGTAAAGTTAGATAAAGCATACTTGGATTTTTCAATGCTGCCGTAATCATTCCCATCCATTAACTTTAATGGTCCCCACCTCCTCAATCCTTGTCCCTTGATCATCAGACCTTCCAACGGCCTTGATCAAACCACAATAAAGCAAAGCCTCCTTTACAGGTTCCCACAAAACTCCAATATTATTCATTCACGAGCAAAGGTGAAACAAATAGGCCCGGTTAGGCAGATTAACCCTAAACCCAGCCCACATTAAAGAGGATTTAATCCGAACCGTCTTATAGGCGAGCTGGGTTAAGACGAACAGGGTTAACCCAACTCACATACAATCCCCGATCGGACCGGGTTGCTATACGGCAACCCATCAACCCGACGGATTGCTATTTTGTTTGTATTAACCAACCTGTCGGGTTGGCCCAAAAAAAATTAAAAATTAATTATTTTTTTCAAGTTTTCCCCATTTTTTTAATTCTTTTAATTAAACTATTATAATTGAACTCTGACAAATAATTTTACACAATAATATTAAACTATACTTCTAAATCATATATTAAAATGTATAAAATTTCGTAATATTTGACATATTGTTATTATTATTTTTTATGGTATGTAAAATATAAAAAAAAAAAAAATACTAAAATCTTATTCTCAAATTTTTATGTCTTGTATAAAATATAATTCATTCTTCTACTAAAATTGCTAAAATTTCATCAATTGAATGAATAAATCTAATTTTTCTTATATTACAATTTTATTATAATAAAATTGAATTAATATTTGAAATGTTAACAAAAAAAAATTAATTTAATTGAATTATTGATATTTGAAAAGCTAACTAAAAACAATTACATTTATAAATTATTAATTATTTATTTAAAAAGTTAAATAAATAAAACAAAATAAAATAAAAAACAAAAAAATATGGCTAACCCGGCCCGGCCCGCAGCCTAACCCGGCGGGTTCAGGTTGGCGGGCCTAACTCGGCCTGCCTTTGTTGGCAGGCCGGTTAGGACCAACCCCCCGCAGGCTGGGGTCGGGTCAGACCGGGCGGGTTATTTTTCTACCTCTAGTTCTCACGAGACATCACCTTCCCGGGGCCATCTTATTACAAACATCATCTTTTATTTACTATAAAATTTAGCAAAAAGTACTTTTAAAAATAAATAAATTTAACTGAAAATTTAACTTTTTTTTTTAATAAGAATTCTTGGATGTATTAGTAAAAAGATTTTAAATTCGAGTCTCTCCTCACATATTAATAAGGATAATTACTAAAACTCTTATCTGATCAATAGTTTTAAAGTTTCGAGAAATCAGTTGAAGTACGCATAAAATGACTTGAATATTCTCGTAAAAAATAAAAATGAAGATTAACTTGGTCATTAGATAAAGTTGAAAAAGAAATATATTTTACATGTTATAATTATGTAATTAACATATTAATACCTCTAATTCTTTATCTTTCTTATAATTATGTAATTAACATATTAATACCTCTAATTCTTTATCTTTCTTTCGAAATTTATAATATTATGAAAATTTTCCCAATATGAGTAAATTTATTTGCTGAGAAATATTAGTCATATAAATGTTTACGAGAAAACCTGAACCTAACCATTACTCTTGTGGTCCGATAGTAAAACTTTAGCCATTAACTCATTAGACTTACAGGTTCAAAAATTCATTGAGATACGCACAAATTAATTCGAATATCTCGACTAAAAAAGAAAAACCAAACCATATAAGAATAAAACAAATATTTAATCGTTTGATTAATCTTCAAATAGATTATTAACTACTTTTTTCTTAATTAATGTATTAAAATCTTTAGTANTTACATGTTTTAAGAAAATAACAAATTGAAGACTCGGTTGATGTTGCAGTTTTTGAGCATGCTGTGTGACACGATGTAAACAGAAAACCAGATCACATTGGTCCCATTTGATGAAGAGATATTGGAAACTCAGTATGTTGAAATGAGGACCCATTGGTGTGTTATTTGCGAAAAAGAGGCAGAGCCCTCTGCCCATTCGTTCGTTCATTGTCCAATGGCTTCATGGTTACGGGCGAAAGTTTATAGTGAACTTGGTGTTTTGAAAACCGGACTGACCGATCTGACCGGGAATCAGCGTCCTCTCCGATCCAATTGTTCCCTGAAACTGAAGATGGCAGTTAAACCAGATTGACCTGCAATTGGACCGTCGAAATAGTGCAGAATCGCGATCCAACCACAAGTTAATCCTACTTGATTCCGACATCGCTCGATGGAGATAGCACCACCATAAGACTCGTTGGCATCTCCACAACAAAACCCTTCCATTTTCAGTGGCCACCATTCTACCGTTCGTCACTCATCGTCCACTTTTTATTTGCACGATCGACAGCCTTCCTTCTTGATTTCGATGCCGTTCGAACTCCTTGACACCACCATAAGAGTCATTGATATCTCTACATCAAAAGCCCCATCATTTCGAACTCTAGCAATTGCCCAAATCTTAGGGTTGTTTTTGCTATATTTCAACCTATAGGGACGCATGAAATTTTGTAGGGGTTTTTTTACTGGACTTCAAACCTACAAGGACTAATGAGAGATTGATGATGTCCCCAGTCTGATCGATCGGTTGGACCAGGCAACCTGGGAACCAAACCATTGACAAGGTCAATGCCCGGTCCAGTTTTCAGAACATTAGAAACCAATCTCCAATGGGTGACTCCTAGATCTTGTTCAAAAAATTTATGTTTCTAAGCTAATTAAGGTGAAAAATATTTCCATGATTTCACTACTCCATTCAACAAACATGTGTTCTTTAGTTTTACTTCGTTACATGTCTTGGGAATGACAGCTAGCTATGATTAAGACTAGAGAATTGGGATATGAGAGAGAAAACAGAAGACTTGAGTGAACTAAACATTGGGGTTAGCTTTCCAATGCCTTGATCTTTATCTATTTCTCTCTTCTCCTACTTCTGTGCCTGGGTTTGTGCTCAAATTATGGAGTCATTCATTTCTAGTTTTATTTTATTACAGCATTTTGTACTATGTGTTATATAAACAAACGAAGACTTAAGTTACAGAGCTTACAGTTTGGAGGTTTCTAACAACTTGCCTATTGCAGCATCTTTTTTAATATCTTGGTTTTTATTTTACAGTTTTCTGGGCATGTGTTTATATCTTGGTTTTGGTTATCAGGGCATGTGTCTTTGTGCATATGACTTTTAATGAAAGGCTGAATATCATTATCCCACCTTAACTTTCAAAAAAGTACCACTTGTCATCCCTGGTTTGACAAACTAGCAACTTCTTACTCATTTTTTTAACTCATCTGTTAAACTTTACGGAATATGGATATTAATGTCATTTTTCAATGTATATATAAAGATGATTTATTTTTTAATTTAGGATATTTCATTGTTAGTAATAGTTTGATTTATATTTAATATTTATTTATAAGGGTAAATTTGGTATTTTATCAATTAAAGTTAGTTCAATTAAACTATCTTTGGGTGACGGAATGGTTCGATAGGAAATCTTGGGTATATTACTTAAGAGGTCATGAATTCAAGTCTCTCATCGGTTACTAATAAGAGTAATCACTGGAGCTCTTATCACACAGGTAGTTCAACTTCAAGGGTCCCAAGAGATTAATTGAAGTGCACGTACGTTGGCTCGAACACCTCTCTGATCATCCAAAAAACAAAAAAAAAGTTAGTCCAACTATAAATTAGTTTGACAAAGATTAACGGTGGGTAGGAAGTTGTTAGTTTCCAAAACCAGAGGTGGTAATTTAAAAGTTGAGGGGGGACAATTAATTTAGCCATAAGAAGGATTAATTAGATTATAATCCAGTTACAGCTATGAGCTCATTTCTTTAGCTTCCCTAGTGGAAGTTGGTTTGATTGATGATGTTATAGTCAACTTCTGTTTACTTCATTGTCCTTAACTGTCCTACTGTCTTTTTGCTTTAACTTAAGTTTCTATCTTCAATTTTTCTTCTGTTTTTTCGAAGACTGCTTTTTATTGAGGTTCTTGTGAGTATAAATGGAGTAAAATCTCTATTCATATTTTTTCTGTTTGGAATAATTAAGTTCAGTTGTAACTTGGGAAGTCATATTTGAATTACTTGACAAATTTTGGTGAAGAAGAAGGGAAAACAAAAATGGAGGTACAGGTACTAAAACAGAAGACTCTTGAAAGAGTTGTATCACAGAGAGCTCTGCAAATGGGGAGTTCATTTCCTTGTCAAATTTGTGTGGTGGTTTTTCTCTCCGGGGTCTGCCTCACCTCTTTGTTTCTTGCTACTCTTACTTCATTTGGTAGTTTAGAGTTTGGTGGGATTTCATTTTCTTCCATTTCAATGGGAACTCCACCTGTGAATTCAAGTTCAGACATGATCAGTAAGTGAAATGATTTCTTCTTGTGATTTTTCTTTCTTTCTTTTGTTTCTTAAATTTTATTGTAGATATGGTTACAAGTACAGACTGCAAATTTGATTCACATCGAAGTGAAAGAGAAGATGAGGATGAGAGAGTTTCGTTGTTGTATTCAGCATGGAGTGCTTTACTTACTGATCCAGTAATGGAAGAAAGAGAGTTTTTACAAAGATTTGGAATAGAAAGATCCAGTGTGCCCAATGCTCCTCATTTTGAGGACTGCAAGTTGAGTGCTAGAGTAAATACACGTCTTGATACCCGTTCTAAGAACGGAAACTTCCCTCCATGGACAAGCTGGAAGGGACGACTGGACATGTATGCAGCATCGGAGGCCAATGAACAAATTCAACAATTTAGGCATCGTGACATTTCGGAAGGTGTTTATCCTCCTTGGGTATGAATATCATTAAGGCTTTTAAATTGGATTTGTCGTTTGCGTTAAATTTTTAAATTTTTTTCTTTTTTATCACCATGGGTGTCCAAGACAGATTAAGCGCACCTCAACTAATCTCTTGAGGTCCTAGAACTGTCGATCGAATAAAAGCCTAAGTGGTTAACCTATTAATGTCTGGAGAGACTTAAACTCAAGATTTCATAGAACCTTCTTTTGCTTTTTTATCATTAGACCACTCAATAATAGTTAATTTTTAAGTTGGTTTTGTCGTTGGAAGTGTAATATGATACATGTAAAATTATTAAACTAACCCCAAGGGATAGGCCTGGCGGTCAATGAGGTTTGCTCCCTTCTTTGACTTTTTAGGTTCGAACCTTGAGGTCATCTATCGCATTGTGACTTTTCCACATTGTGACTTACCCGATCCTTTGGGTTTATAGGGTGTTCAAGAGACCCTGAAATGCACGTAAACTGGCCCGAATACCCTGATTACCAAAAAAAAAAAAAAAAATTACTAAACTACGTATTTATTTTAACAAGTTTTTTTTTTTTTTAAATTTCTCAAATATATTAACAATTAATTTTTTACGTAAGAAAAAGCAAGGTTGAACAATGCAATGCATTTCAGGACTTATAATAGTTTTTACCAGCTTCTGTTTGAATATGCATTCCAAATATTTGAGCTTCTTGTTGTAGATTACAGGGTCAGACGAGGATAATTATCCCCTTACCAGGAAAGTGCAACGGGATTTATGGGTTTATCAGCATCCATCAAACTGCAGTGATCCTGGTGTAAGATTTCTGGTAGCAGACTGGGAAAGATCAGCCGTCTATGGAATCGGGGCACAGATTGCTGCAATGGTTGGGCTTTTTGCTACAGCAATCAATGAAAAAAGGGTGCTTGTCACAAACTATTATAATCGAGCGGATCATGATGGTTGTAAAGGTATAAATAATTAAGGTGACAATCAATTTATCTATTCCTTTTATATATATACTCGTTAAATTTTACAACATTCTTCAAGGTGTCAGATGATTAATTAAAATACGTACAAACTAGTCTGAATAACCCCAATCACCCCACAAAAAAAAAAAAAAAATTTTAACAGTTAGTAATCTATATAGATTTCTATGAGCCTATAATATTTAATGCCATTTTCATAAATGATTTAAGGTATTGCTAAATGTCATGTTTTTATGTTGATTTATATAAACATCGATAAATTTGCAAGATCGATTATTTTTATTTGTAATATTAAGTTTCAATTTATCTTTATTAACAATATTTTAATTTATCTTCACTTCATCAGATATTAATTAATATTAGAAAATTATAAGAATCAATAATAGTATTAAAATTACTTTATAAAATTTTGGGTGGCCAAAGTTTGTAATGGTCTAATATCTCATAAAATGGATTTATTTCATCTGCTCTGGGGTGATATTGGATTCAAAATTAGGGGTGTATAAAGAATTGGCCGGAACTAGAACCGACGAATACTCGGGGTTTCAGTTTCGATTCTAACCTGAAACCGACCCTCACAGGGTAGGTTCCGGTTCTAGATTGTTGCTTTAAAGTATAAGTGTTCTTTGTATTTACCATAAAACAGGAACCAAAGACGAAACAGAAAATTCTCAGGCAAAATGAGTTTCCAAATGTGCATTATTGACTGCATAAACTGCCCTTTTTATCCCTGGAATATATATGCCTTTTAATAGCATAATCAGGAAGCTTTTTTCTTAATAATAAAAAGTTCATCAAGTTATTTGACTCTTAAGGAGGAAAAGTCGATTTGGTTTATAAAAAGAAGATATAAATGAACTTCTATGAAATAATTTAGTAGAATTTAGCCAATTGTCTTGATCCTCAAATATCTTTGAGAAATAGGAATCAGTGTTATCAAAAGATTTTTTGCTATTATTTCTAGTATGTATTGAGGCAGTCTAGAGCTGGGCATTTGGGATCGGGCCCAAAAGCCCAGCTTCAAAACCTGGTCGTAGGACCAGTCCTTGAGAGGACCGGACCTAGGAGACCTGGTCCCAAAACGGGACCAGGCCTAAGGAGGAGGGCTCAAGCCCTCCACTGGGCCCTCCTCCAAGGCCCGGGCCTAGGACCAAATTTTTTTGTATTTTTTTAATATAGTCCCTTGTCAAATTACTAAAACCCCCTATTAATTTTAAAATAAATATAAATTATGAGGGTTAAAATGAAATTTTATAAAATTTATTTAAAAAAAAATCTTCAGGTCTAAAAAATTTATAAATTTTTTAAATTTTACCTCTAAAAAATACTAAAAACCCCCTATAAAATTTTGTTTTGTCCCCAAAATATAAAAAAAATTGAAGGGGAAAAATAAAATTATCCAAGACCCATGGGACCTGGCCAGGCCTAAGGCCTGGTCCGGGTCTTGGTTTTTCTCATGGGCCTGCATGAGTGACTGGTCCTATTTAGGATCAATCCCAAACGGGCCTAGGCCTGGGCCCACAAGGGACCGGTCCTTGCCCACCTCTAAGGCAGTCATACACTTTGGCAACTTATTGAACAAAACCATTGATAAAAAATTTCAAGACTTGTTTGGTGCATTATTTGAGTGCTGACATTATACACCATTCGCATCGTAACCTGTTCATTGAATGGCAACTTATGTAGCCAAATGCGTGATGTTATAATGCACTAATGGAGGATGCCGGCTAATGTCGATACAAATCTATGGTAGTCTGTAGAATCAATTGTGTTTAAACGTAGTGCTACGTCATATCGTATCCGCAAATCGTAGTTGGAATATGCACTTGGATTTGTATGATGGTCATGTTCATACAGTAAGATTCTTTCTAAATGTTGTCGTAATTGTCAACTATAATACACATGCCCTTTTACATTTCAATTCGGTGGTATAAAAGTCTAAGTTAGTGTCCTACCAGATCATTTATGTTTTTACAACCTATCTATGGAAATTGAAAATGAGTTAAAAGGACTTTTTTCCCACCCAAAGAATGGTTTAAAACACCATTTTTTCACCCAAAAAAATACACTTTCTGATTATGCGGCGAATGGAGAGCAAAGCCGGCCCATTCTTTTGAGGCTTTTGAATAGAGAATGTCGCTAGTTGTGATTGGTTAAAATTTGACTTAGGAAAAGTGACTGTGTAAACCCTAATCGTTCGATTGTCGACAATTAACAAGATCAACGAGAGTAAAGTTTGAGAGGTTTTGATGAATGATGATCGAAAAAGAGAATGATAGTGGTGTGAGGTCGTAACGATGCTAAAATCAGTCGGCGATTGGTGGGACCAATGGGGAAAGTATCATTCAATGTATTTTTTTTTTTTTTTTGTGAGATAATGATATTTTAAAAGTCTGGGATGAGAAAATGTCATTAAACTATTATTAGGATTAAAAAAAAGTCAGTTTACTCATTGAAAAACGTAAAATTTTATGATATTTGAACGGCATAATAATATTTGGTTTAGTCTAAACAACACAAATTAAATGACTTCAAATCCACCAAACCTAGTTTGTTATATATATATATATATATATATATATATATATACTGGGTAGAAGATTTATATAGCATCTATTCCAAGATTGAGTGGCAAATCTAGAACCAGCGGTTAAAAACAACAAAAACCATAAGACGTGAAAGAAGTGAGGTGGGTGAAAACAGAATAAACCACTCTTATTTTCTCACAAAACAGCTTTTCATCATGCCACAGGGAACAACCCCAGGAT